GTTACAGAGATCTCTGTCGGTTCCCTCGTTGGAACCACTACTGTTACTGACTGATGGCCATCATTACTGCTCGGTCTTTTAAGACCTACTGTTTTGTACTGTTATGCTAATGGGTGTACCACATATGACTGTACTAACTGAACAACTGAAATACTGTTTAAATGCTGTTTTTCATTACTGTAAGGACATTCATTCTTAACCTCTTTACGCATTATGTTATTCATTGGGCTTTAGCTCACTGCTCATATATATATGTAGGTGTTCAGGCACCAGACTGCGGCTAGGAGCGTCAGGGTTACTCCAGTTTTGTCAAGCCAGCCTATGTGCCTCACTGCGAGGTTCCGAGCCTATCTGTTAAGGCTTAGGGGTGTTTTAGATTTCCCCCTTCTGTACTGTCTTATTGCTCTATATAGACTGAATGTTTACTGTACTGTTATGCAGGGATTGAGTCCCTAGTCTGAATGATTGTAAATATTGTGCATACTGTTTTGTACTGTTTACGTATAAATGTATGAAAAGTCTTTTTGCATACAGACTGTCACAGCTCATTGGGCATTGTTTCTTTACTGTATTGGCTTCCGCCAAGCCCTGTACTCTGTTTTACTGTACTACTGTTCTGCAGGCTTTCGGTAATCTCGGATTACTGGCCGGTTACGATGCTAAACCCATAGGGCCGGGTTTGGGTCGTGACAGGTTTAGTCATCTCTGCTCCTAAAATTAAACTTTTCCAAACTAAAGTTCGATTCTTAGGTTATGATATTCACCAAAGTACTATTCTTCCTATCAATAGGTCTATTGAATTTGCTTCCAAGTTCCCTGACGAAATCTTGGACAAAACCCAATTACAACGATTTTTAGGTTCCTTAAATTACATTGCTGAATTTTATAAGGACCTTAGAAAAACTTGTCAACCCCTATTTGATTGGTTAAAAGATAATCCTCCTCCTTGGTCTTCTATACATACTACTATTGTTCAACAAGTCAAAAAATATGTCAAGACTTTGCCCTGTCTTGGTATTCCTACTGAAAATTCTTTTAAAATTATTCAAATTGATGCCTCTGATGTTGGTTATGGAGATATCCTTATTCAGAAAATCACTCCTCAGTCATCTGAACAAATCGTTCATTTTCATTCTGGTATCTGGAATAAAACACAAAAGAATTATAGTACTATTAAACAAAAATTTTTTTCTATTGTTTTATGTATTAATAAATTTCAAGATGATATTTTAAATCAAAATTTTTCATTACGTGTTGATTGTAAAAGTGTTAAATATGTTTTAGAAAAGATGTTCAAAACATTGCTAGAAAATATATTTTCGCCCGGTGGCAATCTATTTTAAGTATTTTTTATTTTGATATTGAATATATACCTAGTCGTCAAAATTCTATTCCAGATTTCCTTACCTGCGAATTTTTACAGGGTGGATAAAGAATGGCCACTTCTTTTATTTCCTACCATAAATTAAAAGTCACCTATTATAGAAAACCTGTTTACCAAACTGGTTACCATATTGCTTGTCTTAAGATAGCTTGCAAAACTACTCGCTGTGCACAATTCATACAATTTCATCAAATTACCAGTTGTCGCAATTTACTTGCTCATTATACTAATTGTCTTCATTTTCATATGAACAAATTAGATATCTTCAGTAGATGTTAATTCTGTTTACCTTATTTGCTTACAAATGACAAGGCCTTCTAGTAAAGCCATTGTTCCAACTAGTAAATCCATTGTTGTTCCTCCTATTGACCTAGTCACCAAATATCATCCTATTGACACTATCAACCGTTATCAAGTTCTTGGTAATATCCCTAAACCTAGTTATATATCCGCTCTTGCTTCAGATCCATTCGCTTCTTCTTTTCAGGTACTCACTCCTTACCCTCCTAACCCAGTCAAATCAATCCGATCTGATTATGTCAAATTTCAATCAACTAATCTCTTTTTCAAAGAACCTATTCACAAGAATACCCATAATGTTCTTGATCTAGTTAAATCCTATTTCTCTCCTAGATGGCATTTTGTTCCACTCCATCTAGAAAAGTCAATTACCCACTAAAAATATATTCTCTTTTATCATTAGTCAATAGTCATTAAACCCATCTATAATCGTACATATACCAGTAAAATTGTTTACCATTCTCTTTACATCACAATATAGTTTCTCTTAATGAATGACGTCTTTCTTTTCAGCTCAGAGATTTACCTGGTCATACAATCCAATATAGTTATTATGACTATATGGATGCCTGGTTTAAAGTTCTTCTGTATCAAAATGAGTCATATAGTCACTCATGATTCCTCTAATTTGACCATTAATTCAAGTAAGAATTTCCCACTTGGTTTCTTCGATGGTGGACTCAGCATGGTGCTATTTGTGAGATCTTTCCCTCTGTTTTAATTAAACAAGTAAATTATTTCTCTTCTGTTTTTAAACTTAGTCAACAACAAAAACAATTTCCTTGGTTACTCATTTTTATATTCAAATACAAAGTCTCTTGGATATTTAAATAGCAATATGCTATTATTGATGACCTGGTTATTCGCCAACACTTTATTAAATGGTGGGATAATTTTAAACCCCAACGCATAATTGATCAAGTTCAAGAAGAATTCCTAGTCAATCTCCATGCACCAACACTTGCAATCGTTAAAGCTCAGCAGGACCCAACTGCTTCAGTCACCCAAGGAACTCAAGGAAGCCCACTTCCACCAGTCAGACTTGGAAGCCCAACAACCAGCTCTTCCAAGCCCAAATCAACCAAATCCAAGTCAGCTCAGTCAAAGCCTAAAGCTAAGACCAAGTCATCCAGTGATGAATTGATCCAGTTGGCCAAGCTATTGATGGCCCAAGCCAAGTCATAGGTTAGAGATGAAACCTCTAAAGAATCTAGTTCCTCTGAGGCTTCAATCAATACTGATCCTTATGGGCCCTAGTTTCAAGATGTTCAGGATCCATATTCTTAAACAGTCAGCCATTGGATTCTATATATGTATAAATCAGCTTCAGTCATTACTCTTATTTTGAGGAAAGCTGCTAATATATATATATATATATATTGATTTCCCATTAGTCAATTGTACAGTCACGTTCCCTCACTGTAAGCTTAAAAAAAAAAAAAAAGTAAGAAAGTTCTCGGTCACAGAAAGATGCTCTATGTACCAATGTACCTCTTATTTTCAAGCTTTTCAAAAGTCACAAGTTTCACAGTATTTTCCAACTTTTGAAGTCACAAGCCTCACAGCTCCAATCACAGGCCTCACAGCTCCAAGTTTCACAAGCTCAACAGTTATCCACTTTGCCTATAAAAGAGGCTTCTCAGTCAAGACCAAGGCAGAGGGAAAAAAGAAAGACTTCACAATTTTCTTTCGTAATTTCTCTCAGTCTCTGTAAAATTTTAAGTTTGTTTTAAAAACTCAGTTTCTAAGGATGTAAGTAGAAGCTGTATTTTCCACTTACTTCCAGTAAATAATTATGTATTTTCTGATTACTTTCAATAACCAATTGTAAGTTAATATTGTAAACTTAATTTACTTATCTGTTCTTATTTAAAAAATATTCTATTTAACTTATTTAACTCGTTGTTTATTTATATATTAAATAATAATATATAAATAACAGTATAGATACATTATTTATATTAGATAATATAAATAATATTAAATTTTTTTTATTAAGTATGAACTCAAGTTTTATTAATATTAACAAATCGAATTGAGTGAAATTCAAACCGAATTACTTATCAAATTGAACTCAATGAGACTGTTTGGGAAGTAAAATTTTAGCTTAATTTAGGTTAAAATTCACAAAAAGATAAAGTAAATTAAAATAATTAATTAGATAAAATATCATATCAAACTCATAATTATTTTATTTTTTCTCTCACAAATATCACATTTTTAATTACAAAATAATTCAATTATCCTCTCAAATATAAAAATTTTAACATATTAAAATAATCAAAAATTAAAATAATCTTGGGAAAATTATGCAAATAGTTCATGTACTTTATACAATGTGTCAATTTGGTCCTTGTAGTTTCAATTTGTTCGATTTTGTTTCTTAATTTAACGGATTGTGTCATTTTAGTCCAATAAATAATAGTTGTTAAGTTAATTTAACGGAAAGTCAAACAATGTGTCAATTTGGTCTCTATATTTTTCACAATGTGTCAATTTAGTCCCTGTCAAAATCGAGAAAATTGAAACTACAGGGGGCCAAATTTATACATCGTGTAAAATACAGGGATCAAATTGACACATTATTTGACATTCCGTTAAATTAATTTAGGGTTGGTTTGGGAAGTGGGTTGGCTTTTTGGCTTTTTTGACTATTTTAGCCTGGACTAAAAAGCTTGGTTTGGGAAGTTTAGTCTGGGATTAAAAAGTCTCGTTTTGGAAGGACTTTTTGATTTTTTGTGAGAGAAAGAGTGTAATGATTGTGAATTGGATGTGATATTTTGTTTGTAATGGTTAAAATAGTCTATTTTGTTTTTTGTGACTATTTTAGCCCCAAACCAAATTCCCAAACAATGCCTTAACAACCATTGTTTATTAGATTAAAATAACACAATCCATTAAATTAAAAAACAAAATCAAACAAATTACAACTACAAAAATTAAATTACCACATCATAGAAAATATAGGAACTACTTACACAATTTACTCAATAAGCTATTAAAATAACGAGCAAGGATCCTCTAAAGTTTTTTTTTCCTAAAGTTTTCTAGAGTGATATATTGTGTGGTTGAGATTTAATGACAAGTCACATCAATTTTTCAGTATTAAATCTCATTCACACAATACATCACTTTAAAAAACTTAAAAAAAAAAAAACACTATCCTTGGTGTAAAATAACAACTTCCGAGTTTGACAAATAAATCAGCCAAATCAGCAAAACTCTAATTGACTGATCCGTTTGCTGCCCTACGTGGACTGGGGTAAATATATACGTGTCCCACAGTGAGCGGCATCGGCATCCACAGTGGGAGGCCGTTTGGCCAGTTCTTACGCTGCCCTGCGTCAGTTATCTGGAACCATCTACGCTTCTATAGAGATATACGTACCTATTATTCATGTAAAAATGTATAAAATTGTTTGTAGAACTCTCTGGATTCTCCAACTCAACCCTCCCTCTTCATCATTGCCTTTGATTTTTCCATAGAACTATCTAGATTCTCTCTCTCTCTCTCTCTCTCTCTCTCTCTCGCTCTCCATAAAAGCTCCTCCATAGACAACCTCCTTCACACCTGCAAATCTCACGCTATCCCGTTTCTCTCAAGCTTTGTGATCTCTGACTCTCTGCAAACCCATTTCAGCGTTCTCTGATACATGGACGACGATTTCGAATTTCCAACTGCTGGGCAAATGAACACCAACAATGACGACATGGAGATGGACCTTCCTGAGGGGAACCCAGTTCACAAGGTTGGGGAAGAGAAGGAAATTGGAAAGGATGGGTTGAAGAAGAAGCTTCTCAAGGAAGGTGAAGGTAGGGACACGCCTACCAAAGGCGACGAGGTCGAAGGTACGTACATTGATCAATTGGTTCATTTCGTTATCGATTTTTGATTGAATTGTGTAATTGTCATGAGGTAGATGAATTGGGGGCATTTGTGTTAATGGGTCGATGTTGATTTTGCAGTTCATTACACTGGTAGTTTGCTTGATGGCACCCAGTTCGATTCGAGCCGCGAAAGGGGGACACCATTCAAGTTCACTCTCGGCCAAGGTACTCTTTTTTTAGCTATTGAGATTTAATTCGATATGTTGTTATGAATATGTTTGTTTAATAGTCAAGATCAACATGATCTTCTGGGCTTTGTTGTACATCTATATATCATTTGGTTTTGAATCAGTAAATAAATTACCAATATTAGCATTGAATGAAACGTGTTTATATTAGATAATTCTGTGTTCGAGAAGAAATTACCAATATCATGAAAATGTAAAATTTGTTGATTGCATTTAGAAAAAAAAGTTTTCATTTTTGTGACGATGATGATAATTTGGAGTGAACATTTCAATTTTCGTAAATTCCAATAATAAATCATCGTAGATTAAGTCCCCTTTGATAATAGTGATTGAGACTCCCCTTATTGGGAGCATCCTGCTGTCAGTGGGAGACGTTCTCGTATCCTGCTGCCGTGGGGAGCATAGCTTTTGCTGTTACCTCTTCGGATAGGCGATGAGAAATACATTCACATACATGTCAAACATGTATGAATAAATGATACTAGAGTTGTTATTGCTATTGTATAAAGTTGTCATGTTCCTGAAATTAGAGTTTTGGGGGAGAGAGATGCGTTTAGATTTTGGTTTCTGATTACCAATTTTCAGCATGCTATGAGATGCACTAAACAGACCTGAAGACTCCCCTTAAAATTTGGAGTTCCCTTGTCTCGAAGAGACTAGGGAAATGGTGTAAATTGTGTAATGCTAACCCTTTCTTTGTATTTCAGGACAAGTGATAAAAGGATGGGATGAAGGTATCAAATCTATGAAGAAAGGTGAACAAGCCATCTTCACGATACCTTAGTTATGCATATATATGAAGCATACAAACAGCATGGATTCAACAGCCACTGGTGTAAGGTTGTTCCTGGTGGCAGCATTCTAGGAAAGGTGGAATAATATTTCACTCTATTTACTGTTGCCTCATGCAAATTGTGAAGTACCTGTCTTGGGCACAAGATAATGTGTAAGGCCACAACAGATGCAGCTGCTGGTGTAAGGGCACAACAGCAGCATAGGTTCACATGGGTGTGTTATTCACATCCCATATCTCCATTTCCGGAAGGAGGATGATCTGTTGCTTTTGAAGCACTGTGTTGAGGACTACATTGAATTATTGACATCTTGTGCAACCTCATGTTCATTCTTGCAGTTAAGTATGAAGCTCGGCTTGAGGATGGAACACTTGTGTCAAAATTTGATAGGTGGAATTCACTGTTGGAAATGGTTTGTATTGTTGAAATTAGTTTTAATATCGTTTTTCTTTTATCTTCTTGGTTTATAGGTTATTTTCAAGTATTTCTTGACATGGTGATCCTTTGTGCAGGGTATTTCTGTCCTGCCTTGTCGAAAGCTGTGAAAACAATGAAAAAGGGTGAAAAGGTCCATCTGACAGTGAAGCCACAATGTAAGTTCACTTAACATATCGCTTGAACCTCTGCTATGATAAGTAATATGGTGTTAAATTTTCATTAATCTTTGTAAATTGCCACAGATGCATTTGGGGAGAAGGGCAGACCAGCAACTGGTGAGGAATGTGCCGTGCCACCAAATGCCACTCTTCAGATAAATCTTGAATTGGTTTCATGGAAAGTTGTTTCAGAAATTACCAATGATAAGAAGGTTTTAAAGAAAATATTGAAGGAAGGAGAGGGATATGAGCGTCCAAATGATGGAGCAGTTGTTCAAGGTAACTAATTTATGTGGACAAAAAACATAATAAAATTATTTATTATTTGCTTCATGTTAGAGATTGGGCAGTCCTATAATTTTATATTCTACCTTTCTGTTGTGGGACAGTAAAACTGATTGGGAAGCTGCAAGACGGGACTGTCTTTCTGAAGAAGGGACATGATGAGGAGCCATTTGAATTCAAAATAGATGAAGGTAATTAGCATAATCTTGGCTATATTATCATTTTTTGAAGATTTTTGAGTTTCTTGTTTTCTAAATCATTCTAAGCTTGACTTGGGATTGAATTTTGAACAGAACAAGTTATTGATGGACTTGATAAATCTGTCAAAACAATGAAGAAGGGAGAGATTGCGCTTGTAACAATTCATCCAGATTATGCTTTTGGTTCATCCGCATCACACCATGAATTAGCTGTTACACCTGCCAATTCCACTGTGCATTACGAGATTGAGATGGTCTCCTTTGTGAAGGTTAGTGTGAAATTAAATACTTCCCCTATCTGATTTGTTTTTTATGTGGATTAAGTGGGACTAACACTAGTGCTTAAAAAACTTGTAACTATAGGAAAAAGAATCTTGGGAAATGAGTACACAGGAGAAGGTTGAAGCTGCTGGAAAGAAGAAAGAAGAAGGGAATGCATTGTTCAAGGCTGGCAAATACGAGAGAGCCTCTAAGAGATATGAAAAGGTGTTATTTGGTGATTAATTAATTTTGGTTGCCTGTGATAAGTTTATTAGTTTTCTTGCGTCTGATCTTCCTGATAACCCTTTTTTTCCCTTCTGAGCCACAGGCTGTGAAATTCGTTGAATATGACTCCACATATAGTGATGAGGAGAAGCAACAGGCAAAGGTGCTCAAAGTTACTTGCAATTTGAACAATGCCGCTTGCAAGTTGAAACTAAAAGACTACAAGCAAGCGGAGAAGCTCTGCACTAAGGTCTTGAAAATTGACGGTAGGAATGTGAAAGCACTTTACAGGAGGGCACAGGCATACATCCAACTTGTTGATTTGGATTTGGCAGAAATAGATATAAAGAAAGCACTTGAAATTGACCCTGATAACAGGTATGTTTTCCCTTACAAATGGAAAATCTAATCTTTTTCTCTGCTAGTCCAAAAATAGGCGCATGAATTAAGTGGGAATTATGCGGGGAAGTTGAGTTGGAACTGGAAGACCGCAATATGTTAATCAATGTACATTAACCCACGTGGAATGGAAATAGAAATAACCAAACCCAGACCAAAATCTATGAAATTTGCCCACCTAGGAACTAAATCCAGATCAACTATCGGGTTTTTTTTGTTTATTTAAATATATATTTATGTTTAGGAGATGATATATTGGGGTATGTGCTGTAGGGATGTGAAACTTGAGTACAAGATTTTGAAGGAGAAAGTAAAGGAGTACAACAAGAAGGATGCCCAATTCTATGGCAACATGTTTGCAAAGACGAACAAACTAGAGCAAATTAAAACAACTGTAAGTGGTTTTGTACCCTAGTGGCTTATCTTGTAGGATAGAGGTAAAGCATTGTGAGTTTAAGGAACTTCTGTTGTTGCTCTTTTACTGATTCACATGTTTTAAAATGCAGAATGCAGCAGCAAAGGAGGAAGCAGTGCCCATGACCATAGATAGCAAGGCATAATAATGATGTAGCGGGTGTCTAGTTAAAGTGTCCTAAAATGGTTGCTCTCTCTCATATGTGGTGAAAATATAGAAGTGAAGTGTGTGTGTGGAAAGTATAGAGTAGTCGCTTGATTTCTACTATGTAGAAGTATGGTTGTGTGTCAAATTTCTTTAGGATACTAATTGCTTTGAGCTGGTCCATCAATTACTGGGTCATGATGAAATCTGTTATAAAATAACTGACTTGAGTCAAATTTAAAGGTGGGATGTATGTACACTTTTTACTATCTATGAATTTGATTCGATTTAAGTTAATATGTGTTCCTTTGTTGAAAATTTGATTTTTTAATGTAATTATTTATTAGAGGAGGTTGAGAATATAATTTATGATACCTCGAAAGCATAATGTTTATAAGATTTGATTAAAATAGGGTCAAAGAGTAAATGAGAATGTTGCATCAAAATACTCAAATTTACTATTGTTCACATGATTACCTAAAAGAATAAAAGATACTAGTCAAAATCACTAGTAGATATAATTCCTTTAAAATAAAATGGTTTGAAAGTTGTCAATAACTCCTTGGAGCAACAATTCCAATTATTCAATATTCACTGCAAATACTATTCGAACATCATGCCGACCATCAGACCATGTGATAGCTCCAAACTTGTAACCCCTTGAAGCTTCTTCTTTGCTTTGAAACGAGATTTTAAATGATGCTCTTGTTGAAGCCGCTTTGGCGAAATCAATATTTTTCGGAGACACCTTTACTACCAAACATGGTGGAGCATAGATGGAGGAAACATAGGAGGAATTTGGAGATCCTACATTGGTTATGGTTCTTTCAACAATTTTGAACCCTTGAAGTCTATTGAGTTTGCCTATGGAAATCGATGGATAATTAATGTTGGAGATTAGATCCTGGTTAGAGTCTTTTGGACAGCTAAAGTTTGTCTTTGAGATTAATCTTATCATTTTCTGTGAAATTCCATAATAACAGAGAAAATTTAAGTAATCTTTTAAGGTGGCTTCGAATACTAAGCCAGGATTAAGAGCTTTGATTGGGTTTATGTAGAAATTTAATGTATAAAGAGAAAAAGAGAATTGTATTATTGACTAAGCCAGGATTAAGAGCTTTGATTGGGTTTATTTCTCCGACCCCAGTTTCAAGTGGATTTGCAATCTGATTCGAGCTATTTGTCAAAGGTCTTCCAATGTTATTGGACACAACACCTGCAAAATCCAAAACACAGAAAATTGTTTCAATTTAATCCGTATTTGAATTAACATGAAAATTGAAAATGGGGACTAAGAAATAAGTTTTGAATTATACACTAATAAATGTAGTTGATGAGTGAAATAACACAGTTGTCAGTTTCATTATTTAGCTAATAGCAAATTAGAAAAATACTCAAAAATGATTTGGCATTACATGAAATAGGTTTTTTTTTTGGCTACAACTATGTACCTGTTGTCATTAGTGCCGATTTGATCATGGAGGAACTCCATCTATGATGCACCGATTTAATAAATGCAGCAGCCCCGCTGACATGTGGGCAAGCCATCGATGTTCCAGATCTTAAATCAAACAATGATGGTGCCTTTCCTATTGGAACACTTCCATCTTCCTTGTTTGGCATCGTTGCCGCCAAAATTGCAACACCCGGAGCCATTATATCTGGCTAAAGAACAAACAGTTATTAAGGTTTAACCTTATTGTGGCCAATCAAAGAAACAAAAAATAGAAAAGAAAAAAAAAAACGATAGGTGACAAATTTGACCTTAAGAATGTTTTGTGTAAGCCATCCGGGACCCCTTGATGAGAAATAAGCAACAACAGGAGCTGGTGTGCACTTTCGAATTTCAGTTGTTGGAAGTATGGTTGCAGTTGGGTTCCTAAATCGATGGATACAAAAATGTTTTGACATAAAATTTGTCAATATAGATCCTTCAAAAAGAAAGGTAAGCAAGAATAATGATTTTATAAATAAGTATGATTAAAAATAATAACTCACTTGGTAGAGTTAATGTAATTCAGAATTTGAGACCCTACAATATTCCCAACTTCAGAAAATGGGAAGATTCCTGAATTGAATGGTAAATCTTTCTCAGCTTCATCGATCAAAATTAGTCCTTCGGCTTTGTCACCTTCAACCACTAATTTTTTGATTGACCTTGGTATAGCTCCTTCAGTATATGTGCAGACAATTATTTTTCCTGCTACTTTTGTTGAATTTAGAGATCCCGGATAGCAGTTCCTGCATTTTCAAATGATCAACAAATTATTTCTCCACAAATGGTGTTAAATAAGAAGATAAATTAGATTACATTTTACTGATACCTGGCATCTGATAATGGTGCAAAATCAGAAGCAACTTCTTCTGCAAATGCTAGAGGATAAGTCTTTGAGCGAGTGAGGTTTGAGAAATTAATTCCAGATCCCTAAAAGATGCAAATACATATGAAATTTAACATCATCGAATCCATCAAAACATAAAGAAGAAAAAAAATGGATTCATATCATCATACTTGGAAAATTTTCCCATTTCCAAGAACTATGGTCGACTTGAAATCGCGATCAATAGTAGAAGCTGCAACAGTAAACATCCACGGGGCAGAATTGACGACAGTAAAAGGAGAAGGTCCATCGTTCCCTCCAGAACAGACTACCATAACTCCCATTTGTTCAGCATGAAAGGCTCCAATGGCTATAGTATCATGCAAAAGGTCTGATTGATAATTCATTCCAATGGAAATTGAGATTATATCAACTCCATCTTTAATTGCATCATCAATGGCTTTGAGTATGACTGAACCAGAACAACCATCCTTTGAACAAGCCTTGTAACTAGCAATCCTAGCGGAAGGTGAGCCACCTCTTGCTATACCCTTTGCTAGGCCATAGTAATTAGCATTTGGTACTGTTATACCAGCTGCAATAGATGTTGCATGAGTTCCATGGCCATTAAAATCTCTCGGTGAGCCAGTGATGTGACGAGTCTTTTTATGATCAGAGTTTGGTTGGATTGAGAAATCTTGGATGTTGTAGTATCTGGCTCCTATTATCTTCCTGTTACAGACCAAGATCATAAAAAATATCTTACAATTTTTATCAATAGCCGCATTAGTCTAACTTGAACTTATTATAAGGGTATTCTGGGGCGAAAAAAGATCCATATAACCAGCTTTACTTGATTGGGATACAAGGCTTAATTTGGTTTGGCACTATCACCTGGGAAAAAAAAGGATGTATAATTACCTATTACAGCTAGACTTGTTAAAGTCAGGTCCTTCCATGCAAATTCCTTTCCATCTTGAAGGGATTTCTCCAATGCCATCATCATTGAAACTTGGAGACTCAGGCCATATGCCTAAAAAGTAAATATAATCAAATTAGAAAGAAAAAACTAGTCCACAAGTACCTAACATTAACAACAATATATCTAGCATTAGTTTCAAATTTAGATTAGCAACACTTAATAAAAAAAAAACCCATGATGCTTAGACATTAGTATTAGTATATCGTATATAAGTGAAAATTATAAATACGTGGAAATGCAAAAACAGTATAGAAGGTATTATTACCTGTGTCTATCACTCCGATTATGACATCGCTTGTTATGTGTTGATATTTGTGTGATGATCGAATGCCAGATTCTGAATCCAAGAAGTCCCAAGATCTTGTTGTATGAAGTTGAAGTATAGGATCAGGGAAGACCGATACAACTTCGTCATGGCCTGTTTTCACAATTTCATGAATTAATTGATTAATCTATTATCACTTCATTTGAGCAATCATACTAATGTAGATAGTGTAGACACAACAATAAACAAAGTAAAATATACATTTTAGTGTAAAAAAGATAACATATTATTTTTCCGTCTACAAAACTAACAAATTACTGATGAAAATAAGATAAACTCTTATGTCAATTAAAACTGTATTCTCAATGTAATTAAATATGTGGAGTTTGATGTATATTAATCCACACCTTAAAAGAGGTATAGTGCCATTTACTCCCTTTTTTTTTTTTCGTTCGTGAGTAGCAATTATATTCATCTTCATATGTACAAAAAAAAAGAAAAAAAAGAAAAAAAAAGAGAAAGTAATTTAATAATTTAAGCTAATCATCTTCATGTGAAAGAAGCTTAAACATGAAGAGAGCAGAACAAAGAAGAGAATTTAATTTACCAGATAGTAAGGCAGCTTCATTCTCTGTAAGCATTGCAGAGAACCCCTTAAATGCGTGACTGTAAAAATTGAGTAGAGATACTCTCTCACTCTCTTGACTTCCCATAACAAAATTAAAAAAAAAAATGGGAAAAAAAATTCACAAAGAATTAGTGTTTTTCTTCAAATTCAGTTGATTAATAGTCAAATTTTAGTTCTTGTTATTGAAAAAAGATCACAAGATTTAACAACCTTGGAATGATGGATGATAATAGTTGCAGACGTGCTGCTAACTCTGCAACAGTGACATTGCCTCCTCCATTTCCATTTATTGAACTCCCCATATATATGACATAAGGCTGCATTATGATATTAACAGCTCTAGGTAGTGATTAAACACAAATTTGCATATCCAAAATGTAAGAATGCTCTGCTTAGTGGCCATTAAAAAAAAAAAAATGAAATAAAAGAGGGCAAATCATAACATGCACTTACACACCACTAATTTTTCAAATTTTTTTTTTTATATATACATAAATTAATTACAGAATCAAATACAAAACAACTATCTCACATGAGTTCAGAACCCACAAAAAAGTGAGAGCCCACGTCATATGAGAAGATTGTATTCGATTCTATAATCGATTTTGCTAGATTTTTTCTCAAGTCTTTATATGAGTTTCAAGTGCTACCCAAAGACCATAATGCCATTAATCTGCTAAAATTTGAGTTGCGCCTATAACATTACCAAGTGACATGTCAAGTGTTCTTTTTTTTTTTTTTTTTTTTTTTTTTCTTCACTACTTTAAAATCTCGAAATTTTTGATCAAAGGAAAAAAAATTTGGGGACAAAATTTATAATTTTGTTACTTATTTATAGAGATCTATCAAACAAAATCTAAAATAAATACGAAATTTTGTTATTAAAAAAAAGGGAAAAAAATTCTGAGAAAGCTCTGCTTAGTGACCAAATGAAATAAAAGAGAGGAAATCTTCATCTTTAAGATAGAAAAAATTCTGAGAAATCTTCAAATTACTCTTTTTTTTATTATTTTTTTTTAGTTAGAAAACCATGTGTGTTTACCTGGGGGATTTGGTTAGATGCAATGGGAGAGATAAGAAGACAAAATAGATAGAGCATGCAAAGTTGGTGGAGACTAGCCATGAAATATTTGGTTCAATTGCTCCCCTGCAAGTGAGTAAAGTTGAAGAAATTATGAAAGGAGTTGCTTACTAACCCAACTATTTGTAGGCTGAGTTGAAGGAGAGATTAATTATTATTATTATTTTCTTTAACTTTTGATTTTTCAGTTGTGGAAACTTGCTTAGGAGAGAAGAAAAGCATCAGCGGCAAAGTTAGGATTTATAGTATTAAGCTACTAAAAAAAATCCAAAATCCAAAAAGCTGAAGACATCCTATTTAATTTTTTTTTTTATTTTGAATTAAATTTTCAATAAGAATAACATTTTAGCAAACTTTTTCAATATTTTTTTTATGTTAAAATTAGGTATTCTCTTCAACTAAACAATTTAGCAAGGTCAATTTGATGAAATTTCAAAATATCATTTAATTTTTTGAGTTATCCTATGACATTACAAAATATTAATTAAAATAGTGAATCAACTCCAATTACCTCTCAAATTTTAGTGGGTTCACATACTATAATGTAGGTACGCCCCTGTCTATTATAGTTCACTTTCTATATAATTAATTATATATACTGAAAAAGAGAGTAACATGCATGTTTGAGAATTGGATGCCCTCCATTAACAAACATTTTTTTTTTAAGTTATAAAAATTACAAAATTACCTTATCGATATGGTGTAAGTTTATACGTAGTACTTTCAGTATCGGTTTAGACTACTATTAAAAATTTTGTATATATATGAACATTATTGAGTTTGAGTTTACACATTGAGAGTAAGTTTGGTCAAGTTTTAAATGATTAGATATTTAATTTAATTTCCCCCCTTATTTTTCAACAAGATTTACGTAGGGTATTTTAAGAAATTGGTAAAAAATTGACTTTTTGACTTTTTTATTGGCTTTTTAGCAAAAAAAATTAAATTTTTTATAACTTTTTAAAAAAAACTTGATAAAAAACTAAAAAATTAATTTTTTTATCAAATTCCCAAAAGCCACGTTATCATTATCATTCAAACTAGCTCATCCCTCACAATGTTGTGTTTGGTTGCAATGGAATGGCACAAAATTCAATGTAAGTGCCATCTTATAATTCAATTTCTTATTCCATGCCAACTAAAAGCACTATGGAAACACATGTTGAAGTGTTAAATAATCTGAATTGATTATTGTAAGACAACTTGATTGTTTTGTGGACTCATCAATCTTCACTTAAACATTCTTTAAAAATGGCTCATTTCGACATCCATATAAACTTTAGATTTTGGGGGCTATGCATGCTAGCCCAGCTAAATGTTGCGTTTTAAGGAGAAAATTTTAATATAATATGTGATATTATTATTTAATAATAATAATATATTAAATAATGCAAATATAATTATCAATTTCAATACATTTAAATCCCGTTGAGCAAGTGATTTTTTAATTAAAAAAATTAAAAATTCAATTCTCTTTGCAAAGAGTCATCTCGTAAACATTAATCAATTTTTTAATTTTATTTTTACAACTATCTATTCTATTAAAAAAATTATTTCTAAATATTTTTTTTCACTTTATAAAAAAATTAGAAAAATCACAGAAAAAAATTAAATTTACAAATACATTTGCGAAGAATAAAAATACGTGACATATTTGAGAAAATAATTGGAACACACTTAAGAATAAACTCCTAGCATAAAAGAGCCAAGGAAGCCAAAAATGCTTGAACCTCTAATTAGAGGTGCCACTAGTAATGTGGCAGTGGGTCCCACCTATTTTCAGTGCTGTGTGTGTTTGTTTGTTTATTTGTTTGTTTTTTTTTTTTTTTCCTACCTCATTAGAGATGTATTTAGAACCTCTAAATTAGAGGTCTCTAACATCACTGATGAGGAAGCAGCTTCATGCACTCGTCGTACTTGAAGCCCATGTGCAATTTTACTTTCCTCCTTTTCTTTATTCTATTAATTTTTTTGTTTGCTTATGTTTTCTTTTTAATTTTCCTCACATTTTTTGTTTCTATTTATTCTTTGTACCTTCCACTTTATTCTTGATTTATTTCTCGGAAAATTTTTGGTATTAGTAGTGTTTTTATAAAACAATTAAAATTTTAATTATTAAAATTTATAAAATTTATCAAAACCAAACCAAACCAAATCAAATCACAATACAACATATAAGAATTTTAGAAATCAAATGTTTTGGTCTGTAAAAGTAAAAATTTTGTTACAAAAGATATTCAGGGATTAATTTTTATCGTCATGAGGATAGTCATTAAAAGGTCACTTCGAAAGTAAAAAACAAAACTTTTAGCGACAAAATTTTGAAAATATCACCAATAAATAGACTTTTAGAGAATAAATAATTTGGTCTCAAAATGATTTATTTTTTGAGACAAAAAATTTGGTCCCAAAAGGATAATAATTCATCATTAATATCTAATTTTTGTTGATAAAAATATTAACGATACTTTTCGTAACAAAAATATTGGGTCTTTAAAAAATAATTTTGTCCCTAAATTCTGATCTCTAAAATCTTAATTTTTTGTAGTGTCAGTCTTAAATCTCATCAAATGGGGTCGGCAGTATGAATCTTTCTTCTTCACTCAACTTTATCCAAGGTCATTTTTTTAGTTAAATTAAGGAGATTCATATCTCTATTTACTACACTAGTCCTATAATAATTTGAAAATTTAAGTTATTTCTTAAATTTTATATTAATATTATTTAATTATAAATAAGAAAAATCTTTCTGTAAAAATAAAATATGAAATAAAGTATAATGGATTAAAAAAGAAAAAGAGAAAAAAGAGAGATTAAGATAACCATGAATTAATAGCTAAGGAACATGAATGAGACACGTCGACGGCCGTGTGGTTTGGTGTCCACACGTGCCTTCCTATATAAAGGAGGGATTTGCTCAGGATGTAAAGAACAAGAGCAAGAGAGAAAGGAAGAAAAAGTAACTATGGCTTAATTTGGGAAGACTAAATAAGTGTACTTTTTGACTTTTTATGAAATATGGGTTGGGTTTGGGTTGGGTTTGAAGTGATGTGTTAGAGAGGTGATGTGACTTAAATAAGATGATGTGATTTAAATAAGATAGTGACTTTTTGACTTTTTGTCTTTTTTCAATCATGCCAAACTTGACCTAAGAAAGGGGAAGAGAATATTAAAAGTTAAGAAGATGGTTGATAGTGGAAAGAAATAGTGAGTTAAGGTAACTTATATTATATCTTGAGTTATTATAATATATTTTATGTATATTTTGATTTATCATAATTTATTTTACATAAATTATATTTTATTAGTTATATTAACGCAAGTTATGTTTTATAAATATTTCAATTACGTGGACTAATTTCTGAACTCTATTTGTTAAAATGAAATCCATGGTTATGCTTGTTTAAATTTTAAAGAATATTTGACTATGACCTTATAAACAATTATGTTTTGTAAGTACCACCATGGGAGTCTCATGCCTTGGGAGATTTAAATAACCATTGGCCTCTGTTTGATCACTTTGTGGCCGTCTGTTGTCATGGATCTATTGACCTTTGTTCTGTGCGGACATAAGTGCTACACTATTGTGGGAGCCACTTCTATAATCTGTACGAGCCACCTCTTGAATCCGTATCTCTGTTCTAACTGTCACTCTTGTGACCTTTGTTCTATTTTGTTCGGTACCGTGGTTATGGTTTTTTATTTTCATAATCTCAGTTTTGCTACTTAAATGATTATTTGTTCAGACTAAGTTATTTTAAATATTTTAGTTACATAACTATCCATGGTTGTTTTGTGTCTCTTATACTCTTGGTATAATCTTTCTCACTCTGCCATGTGCTTATAGCTGTTTACCAATTTTCAGGAAATAATGCAATTCAGAAATAGCTTTTGGAAAGTCTTAAACGCAGGGTTGCGGAATAGGCACATACAACACTTTTATGATATTTTTATATGTAAATATCGGCATTTTTGGTCAATACATTTTGTATTAAAAATAGAAGCTCCGATGATTATTTTGGTACCCTCACTTAAATATTATTTCCGCTCGCGTTTATTAATTTGATCAAGAATCGACCGGAGGTAACTTCAGTTACTGGCCATCACGATACTTAACCCTTGGGTACGGAGAGCGGGTCGTGACAAGTCCACGTCAATCTAGGTTTATCCCTTCCCCTAATACTACTATCTGCCATCATTGTATCGCATCTTTTTCACTATTGCCTCTATTAGTCTTTGTTATATATAACCAAATCATCTCAATCTATTCTCTCTCAACTTATCTTCTATTGGTACAATTCTTATCCATTCTCGAATATGCTCATTTTATCCACTCATCTTATCTACATGTTGTTTCTTAGTTGCCTAATATTTCGTCCCATACAACATCGTTGATCTAATAGACGTTCTATAGAACTTTCCTTTTAGTCTAATAGATACTTGTTTTTCGCGCAATACTCCAGACATACTACGTCACTTAACCACCCCGATATAATTCTATGGACCATATCCACTCCAATCTCTCCAGTCGTTATGATAACCTATCCAAAATAACTAAAATATTTACTCTTAGGTAGTTTTTGGTTATTAATCTTTATTTTTCCTCAATTTCCTCATGGTTACTAAAATTATACTACATATATTCTGTCTTAGTTTCACTTATTCTAAATCCTTTAGATTCAAGTGTTTTTTTTTCTAAATCTTTAACTTAGTATTAATTCATTCTCTAGTCTCATCCACTAATACGATATTATCTCCAAAAAGTATACATCATGACACATCATCCTGAATATTGCGCATCAACTCATCTATAACTAAAGTGAAAAAATAAGGACTTAAAGTGGATCCTTGGTGTAATTCTACAGTAATTGGAAATTCACTCGTCTTTTCAATATGCGATCTGATAGTGGTCACCACACCTTAATACATATCCCTAATCACATCAATATAATCTTCTGTCACCCTTTTCTTTTCTAACACCCACCAGATTATATCCCGAGGCATTCTATCATACGTTTTCTTAAGATCGATAAAAAGCATATGGATGTCTCTTTTCTTTTCTCAATACTTTTCTATTACTTTCCTCAAAAGGTAGATCTCTTCCATTGTTGTTGATTGA